CACCGGCTCGCCTGGTGCGTTCCAGCCTTTGTTCGCATTGCATTGCTGCAAAAAACGCATAAAAACTCGGCTCGGCTCGTCTCATACACAAGCCGCGAAAATTTTTTTTTCGCGACGGCAGGTAGAACTGCCCCACGACGGATGGCGGCAATTTGAATGTGGGAGGTGGAAGTGGGGGTGGTATGTGGCGGGTTTCCTTCGAGACAGGGAACGGAGGTTAGGGTAGATGGATATGAAGACTAAATGGCGCTTATCCTTTGCCGATTGATCAAGTAACGTACACTTGGAGGGGAGAGGGGAGCGGTGAATAACGGAAAGAATGGGGAAGTGTGCTCCTGGGACTTTCCTTTTTATGAAACTGATGTTTAAGTAAAGCTCTACAAAAACCCGTCATTAGGCTTCTTTATTTATGAAATTGATGCTAAGGTAAAATTGTTCCACAAAAACCGTCATTAGGCTTCCTTATTTATGAAATCGATACTTAGGTAAAGCCATTCCATAAAAACCCGCCATCAGACTTTCCTATTTACGAAAGTGATGCTTGGGTAAAGCTGAGAGCGAATAAGTTCCATGAAGTGGGCAAAAATAGGGTAGAATGGATGCCTGGGAATGAAGGCAGCCTCTGCTTCTGTGAGATTTTGAAGACAAAAAAACAAAAATATAACTGTTGTGCACAGTTACAAGTTGAAAGAGGCAACACTTTGGAACTGTCTGCAATTCTTGTGTAATCCTATCGGAGTTATCTGCCCTCGCTTCACCCAAGCATAAGCTTCAGTAAATACCGTCGAAATTATTTGCCCCCGCTTAACCTAAGCATAAGCTTCAGTAAGTCTTGTCGAACTTATTTGTCCTCAGCTTCACCTAAGCATAAGCTTCAATGATTTTGTTTTTTTTTTCCTTTTTTCACAAATTCAGGTTTGTTTTAATCTACTTTTCTTTGTAGTGCCGTGTTGGTTTATTTTCCTCTTTACTGCTATCTGCAGTTCTTGCTTCGAACTTCTGACTAGCACCCTTCTTTCACTCCTGTACACTGTCCCCAATCCCCGCCTCCAGAGGTGCATCGGGGCACCCATCACCTCCAACCACTATCACCATTTATCGTTTTGAATTCCTAACCAGCAGCTTCACTCTCCCTACTATCCTGGCCTCAATCGCGCCCTCTGAGCTGTATTTAGGCAACTACCAACCAACACCTCCCAACTACATTCAATCCCTCTACACATAACCCCTCGGCCACTAGATCGAGCCGCCAGACACTGAGCAGTGTAACCTAGCGCGTCTAGCAAAGTTCCAACGAGCGGTGTCGCGAAATAGTTTGGCAGAGATGATAGGGCGAAGCGCTGGAAGGCTAAAGCACCATTAATTCCCAGCCGAGCCGAGTTTTTATAATTGCCCCCCATCACCGATGGGCATCCTGTCGGTACCGCCGAGAAATAATTTTCACAAATAGCGTATGGCGCCGGCCGAGCCGAGTTGCAGCAGTTTGCCACGCGTGGGCAATTACAAAAACTCGGCTCGGCTGATGATCTGTGATGCTTGGGACTTCTAGCGCTTTGCTCTAACATCTCTGCCAATAATGTTTTGCGGTGCGGCTCGCTCGAACTTTGCAGACGCGCTGGGTTAAACTGCTCACTGTCTGACGGCTCGATCGCGTGGCCGAGCGGTTATGGGTAGGGGATTGGACTCGATTGGCGCGTTTTGGTTGGTAGTTGCGCAGATACAGCTCAAAGGACGCGATTGAGGCCAGGGTGGTCGGAGGGAGGGGGGAGGAGATGAAGTTGGTAGTTAGGAGTTCAAGAATATAAAGGTGATAGTGGTTGGAGGTGGTGGGTGCCCGATGCGGCTCTGGAGGCAGGGACTGAGGACAGGATACAGGAGGGGAAGAAGGATGCTAGTCAGGAGTTCGAAGCAATAACTGCATTTATCAGCAAAGAGGAAAACAAATCAACATGGCACTACAAAGAATAGTAAATTAAAACAAACCTAAATTTGTGAATAAGAGGAAAAAACAAAAGGAGTTAAAACAAACCGAAGCTTATGCTTGGGTGAAGCTAAGGCAAGTAAGTTTGACAGAATTTACTGAAACTTATGCTTAGGTGAAGCTGAGGGCAAATAATTTCGATAGGATTTGCTGAAGCTTATACTTAGGTGAAGCTGAGAACAGTTGGATTACACAAGAATTGCAGATAATTCCACAGTGTTGCCTCTTGCAGCCTACAGCTGTGCACAACACTTATACTTTTGCTTTTTTTTGTCTTCAAAATCTCACAGGAGCAGAGGCTGACTTCATCCCCAGACATCCATTCTACCCTGTTTTTACCTACCTCATGAAACTTATTCGCTCTCAGCTTTACTTAGTCATCTGTTTCATAATTAGGAAAGTCTGATGACGGGTTTTTATGGAGTAACTTTACCTAAGCATCAGTTTCATAAAAAGGGAAGCCTAATGATGGGCTTTTGTGGGACAGCTTTACCTTAGCATCAGTTTCATAAAAAGGGAAGTCCCAGGAGCACATTTCCTCATCCTTTCCGTTCTTCACTGCTCCCCTCTCCCCTCAAAATGTACGTTATTTAGTCAGTCGGCAAGGAATCAACGCCAATTAGTCCTTACATCCACCTATCCTAGGCCCTCCCCTGCCTCGAACGAAACCCGCCATATACCACCCCCACTTCCACTACCACATTCAAACTCCCGCCATCCGCCATGGGGCAGTCCTGTCTGCTCTCGGGTAAAAAATTTTTTGCGGCTCGTGTATGAGCCGAGCCAAGTTTTTGTAATTGCCCTACTGATGTTGGTACTACCTCGTTGCAAGGGTTCTTCGGGGAGCGAGGGAAGAGGCGGGCGGTGGGATGTGGCGTTGTTGTGTGGAGGGGAGTGAGGGCACGCGAGATTCTGCTAAGAGGGTTGGGAGTGGGAGAGGTGCTACGAAATGTGTTACGAGCGCTGTGACGGAGATTTGGCGTTGGGGCGGTAGAGGCTGCGAAAATCGAGCACGCCGGGGGAAGGGACTGTGCTGTGTGTCCCCTCATTGGCGTTCACGCTGTTTGAGTATTAGTGCTATTGTTGCGGTGTGCAGCGAGAGGCCTTGGCGGACTAGCTTGGGGGCGGGATATGGGGGGAGGGGCAGAGATAGCCGATGTTGCAGTATGGAGCCGATGTTGCAGGTGATGGAGCAGGCGCTGCTGGCAATGGACTTGGAGCAGATCAGGGCGGCGTGCAGGAAGATGAGGGAGAACGGGTAGGTGTTTGCCGTTGCGTTGCCGATCGTACGCGTGCCTCTGTTTCGGGCCTGTTTCAGGAGTGCGGCCGAGGTGATCCGATGGACGGTGGAGAACGCGATGCACCGGAGGGCTCTGGAGATCGCACGCTGCGAGGTGCAGGCGCAGGAGGCGCTGCTCAGGCAGCTGCTCTCGCTCACGTTCCAGCTCGCCCGGGAAGGTCTGTCTTCACATTTAAAGGTACGGTAGGAAGTGAGCAGAGGGAAAAAGAAGAGAAGGGGAACGAAGTGAGGAAAAGGGGAAGGGGAGCATAAAATTAATCAAGAAATGTTTCGGTCCATTAAGTTGTATACATTTCTTACCGTTACCGCAGTTGGAGCTGGTCAATACGACGGTTGTGGTAACAAAGACAGTTTAGTTCTCTTGTGTGTGTGTAGTATGTTTTGCTTCGCACTGGCTGCGTTGCCTGCTGCATTGTTGTGCTGTTGCAGATGTGTGCGCGAAGGGGAGCACGGTGGCTGTGGTGGAGGACGTGCTGCAGGCGAGCTCGGTGCGCCGCTGCGAGCAGCTGTTTGCGGTGGTCGAGGAGCATCTGGTCCACTGGAAGACGGTCAGTGATTGCTGCTGCTGCAGGCTTGCATTTGCCTCGTCTCGCTTCGCTCACTCTCTCTCTGCGTTCGTTTCAGAGTGCGTTCTGCGAGCCGTGCAAGAATATGATTCTGCGTATGTGCAACGATCTGCTGAAGCGCCTGTCGCGCACCGTGCAGACCGGCTTCTGCGGGCGCATCCTGGTGCTGCTGGCGCGGGCGCTCCCGCTCTGTGAGAAGTCGGGCCTGAACCTGGTCAGCCACTTCAATCTGGACAACGTCACCCGATACGACGACGTACAGGTTGGTGTGTGTGCGTGTGTGTGTGTGTGTGTGTGTGTGCCTTCGCCGGCTCTCTCTCTGGCAAATGGTCGCTACTGGTCAGGTGTGTTGCAGGCGGAATGCTGCAGTGCTGCTGCTGATGCGACCGGAGATGTGAGCGATGTCGAAGTGGGCGAGATACCAGAGCGGTTGGTTCCTTTCTTTGGCTGCGTCGTTGCTTGAGTTTTGTTAACTTCTCGTTTTATAAAATTAATCGGCTCCCCTCAACCCCAGGCTCTACGCGCCGCC